ACACCAACACTTCTATGACGAATGAGATATGCATGTTTCCACCCATGTTTAGGGCAAAGTAGTAGATTTTTCCTTATTTTGACTCACTGGATTTTTTATTTGAATAGTGTTAAGTACTACATTGTATGATGAATATGAGCGCTTAGAAATGTGATTTAGAAATTACTGTCAAAATTGTAGAATATAATGCACTGCATATAAATTGAAAGACATGGCATATTAAATCTTCCCTTGTCACTTGTTGAGGAAGATCTTATGGCTATCTTTTAAAGCTCAAAATTAAAGAAATACTTATTTGTAAGTTGTTATTTTATTGCCTCAGGTTTTGTGCTACTTTAGCTCAAATAGTTATAGTTTTTACATTTTTTAAAAATAAAGCTTAGTTTTAAGGTTTGTAATAAAGAAATAGAATAATTGCTGGCAGAAGACAAGGTTAATTTTCCATACATTTATATGTATAAATGTTAGTTTAAAGGTTAGTCTTCCATACATTTCTATATTTCTACTCATTTATATGTATATATAAATATATACATATATACACACACATATATATTATATATACATTTATATATTTATACACACACACACACACACACACACACATATATATATATATATATATATATATATTTCTCTGAAAATTAGGCTGTTACTAGAAAGTACTGAAATTTGTTCACTATATTATTTGACCAAGTTTATAGTTATTTTATCCAAGATAAAGCAAGGTCGTGTCTAATAGTGAAATTCTATTTAAAATAGCAAGCCATCCCAAAATGGTGAAGGCATGTTCATTCTTTAAAAGTGCACAAGACCTAACAAGCCTACTATGTTCTAGACAAATTCTAAAATTATAAACTGCTGTGGAAGAAGGTAGGAAACTAACAGTCCATGAGTAGGCTGGCATGTGACCACAGCAAAAGTGTAAACGAAGCGGATTTTGCTACCTGTTTGGGCCAGGCAAATACTATGATTCATCATGAGTTTGCTGTTCTGTTCTTAATATTCTAAAAGATTTGATTGGGAAAATAAGGCATATACCTTTCATTCTGTTAATCATATTTTTGGATCATTTTTATTTGTTTTGATTGCTTTCCAAAGGAATTATTTTCCCCCTGAGATTTGCAAACAATGTTGCTGACTTGGCTTGGTTGGTTGTTCACTGAATCCCAGCATCCATTGCATTGTCCTCCTTCTAGATGAGCCCCTCAGTGTGACCCTTAGGAAGCAAGGTGAAAAGAAACCAAGTGCAATGACAAACATTTTTCTACTTCCGGCATTCTGATGGACTGTTGGGTAACCACTTCGTAGTGCTCCAGGGCCCAAGACATTTAGTGCTATCCCCATTCCGGTGATGGTACTCAGCCTCTCCCACGCACCACGCACGGTCCCCAATATTGTGTAAGGGTGTAGGCTCGGCCTGACTCATGGGGAAGAGACAATTTGTATCCTCTGAGTCAGTGACTCCATTTCCTGTTGGCACATTTGAGATTTCGCTGAAACACAATCTCCAAAAGGTGAAGGTGGAGAGATGAATAGGTGAGCTTCATATTCCTAAAACCCACTTAGAAATTTGACAGAAATAATACCCTCTAAAGAACTTTGTATTTGTATCGAAGTAGAAATTCTAGCTGACACTGAAAGTTTGTAGATCATCTCCCAATATCACTTTGCAGACTTCTCTGTCTCTTTGTTGCCAGTGTAAATTTGGTCACATCTTGATTTTGACACAGACACTATCCAAAATCTTTAGTATCATAGTGAATTATTTTCTTATCAGGGAGTATTGAAATGGATCAAAAGCTCAAATATAATATTTATAATTGAATCATAGAGTGATTGTTGTGTGCAATGAACACTAAAATCATGAAAAAAGTGAATATTAAGAAAATGGATGGATATAACTTAGCACTCAGTTCTTTCCTGTATGACTATAAAATAACGAATAGTGATTTTTACACTCGAGAACCACTGTTTTAAAGCAATAGAGCTGTACATTTGGTCAATCAATTTAGAAACAACTTTGTTATTTCATTGACGACATACATCTATGATAGAACTACACTTACACACTTTTAATTTGAGAGGAGAATTTACAATTATTTACAATTTCCTCTGTTAAAATATCCTGTTGTTGGATTAATGCAGCAAGTCTCACAGAAACTGTCCTGAGCAATGGACTGTGTCCAAGGAAGCGTGACAGGTAGAGGAAGCCCAGTTTTCACGGAGGCACACCCTGGCCTGAACAATCTTTAATTGACAAAGACAAATATTTCACCAGTGGCCTAAACAACTAGAACAAAGTTTCCAACAGTGGAAAAACTGACAACTACCAAAAACCTAAACAAACAAACAAACAAAAACCTCCAGAACCTCAATACAATTAACTGCATTCTCTAGCAGTGCCAAGTTGCAATTGTAAGCAATTCCAAGCACGCAAAGCCACTCTTGGTTTCTGTAAAGGATAGAAAACCTGGCTTGAAATGTGTACTTTTACCTGGCTGGCACCTTCCTAGGAGAGAATTAGTTATAAGAATCTTTGCAAAGAGAAGTTCAGTTTGTACCGAAGATAGTAAGACAGGGTTTAATTCTTCAGTAACATTTATGTCAAAATTATAGTGAGAAGTATCACAAAATTAACACAGAAGAGAATCTAATTCATCTTCTGTTAAAAAGAATTTTTTAATCTCAGTTTAACTGACAATGAAATCCAGACTTAGCCACTATTTTTGTTATTTAAGAAAGATGATTTTTTTAAATGTATGAGAACAATTGAAGCAACAGTTATATTGTAGGAGAAACATGGAGTGGGGAAGAGAGAGTTCTAAAGCTGTCAAGAAAACAGTATTTTCAAATTATCAAAAGAGTATGCAACTTGCTGTCAGATTCTTTACTCTTACCTTCTGTGGTCACTAGATAAGTGGTCTTGCATAAGACATTTCATTTGTATGCACTGAGGCTGTCTGAGGCTAATAACAGCTTCCCAGGATTGTTATGTTAAGTTTGAAACATGAACATATAAACTATGATACTGATGCTGATATGTAACTTGGTTTGTAGAACCCAAAGAATTTGCCGCATTCTTAATAAATACAAGCCTCCTCTGATTAAGAAAAAGTAAAATAAAATTCCCGTTTTACATGGTTTAATTCATCCTTAAAAGACCAAAATAATAAACAGATTTATAATCTTGTTATAAACCAGTAGAGGGCACTACCCACATATACTGCTAAAACTGCAGGCTAGAAGTTGAGTACAAAAGAACATTTATGGGAAATCACTGGTATGTAAGACATTTTAGAAGAATATCATTTCATTTCAATCTCCCCAAAACTCTGTAAAGCAGAGAAAATGGAGACTTGGAGAAGTTAATTAATGCATCAAAAGTTCTGTCGCTCAAGTTTGCTCACATGATTGCTTTTCCACCATACTTTGTTACCTCCCTTTGGGGTATATACTCTGCTTCAATTACAGGTACCCTAGTTTGATACGTGTGATGTTCATTGGTTTCATTGCCATTTCTACATTCTCCTGGCTCATTTAGCATTGTGTTTCCTTAAACTCTTTATGCTCAGTTTTCTTATATGTCTGATGTAGCTAATCATAGTGTCTTCCTAAAAGAGTCACTGAGAGAATTAAATAAGATAATATGGATAAGGGGAATAGAAATATGCCTGGCATACAGCACATTTTCATGAAATCTTAACTGTTGTTAACTATTGCTACTACCCCCACCATTATTATTTATTATCTAACAATTAGTCATCTAGACAGGAAAGAGGAGTTGAAGTGCAAATACCTGAAACTTAAATGGAGGAGGCTAAATGCTCTTAAATAAACATGTAAAATTAAAAGGTTTCTTCTTATCATGATTTCTATGCAGTTCAGAATTCACTGGAGTCATTCTGATGCCTATTTTCCAAAGTTTACCTTTTCACTGGAAGCACATAATGAAAGAGCTGGTTCAGACCCTGTCTGAGTTGGCAGAAACTTGGTGCTAGGGATTGGTGTGGTTCTACATTCCAGCTCTTTCCTGAATTAAATAAGCTACATAGCTTATCTGTATCCACAAGTTCAAAAGTATTTAAAAAGTGTATCTGTGCTGAACACGTATGGACCTTTTCTGTACATTCCCTAAACAATGCAGTATAACAGACATTTACACAGCATCCACATTGTAGTTGATGTTATAGATAATCTAGAGATAATTTAAAGCATATGGAAAGAAGTTCATAGGTTATATACAAATTCTATGCCATTTTATGTATGGGATTTAAGCATCTGCAGATTTGGTACTTTCTGGAACCACTTTCCTATGAATATGGTGGGAAGCTATATTCTGATTTTACGTAGATTATATTTTATTGATTACAGTCTATTTTCATGTATAATACAATATAAAAAGTAACAGATACTTATGTAAACAATAAATATATGCTAGTTTTTTTTTCTGTTGTTACCATAAATGGATACTTTTTCTTTTTCTAATTTATTTTTTAGTTGTAGTTTGACACATTACCTTTACTTTACTTATTTATTTTTATGTGGTAGTGAGGATCGAACCCAGGGCCTCACACGCGCTAGGTGAGCACTCTACCACTGAGCCACAACCCCAGCCCTAGAGCCTGTTTTTTATTTGAAGTCTTTTGTGGTGGGGTCTACATCACAGCGTTATTGTAAACACACAGTGGAGTAAAACAGTGGAAATTCTCTAACTGTTCAGCTTAGGAAAACTCAAAGTTCACAATCAGGTCTTTGAAAATGTTACTGTGAAATGTTTATAGCAGGTCAAATTTGTAACTCTGAATGCACTGCTTGGACCCTGGGAGAGAAAAGCTGAAGGGTCATTTATTCTCATGAACTACTTTTTTATGCTTTTGATGGATAAAAATTTTAAAACAATCAAAACTACTCTGTAAATGCTGCATTTTTTTCCAAATCTGACCAAGGATTCTTGCCTTGAAACATTAACTATGTTTTTGATTTTCCTCCATTAATAGGTTTCCAACTTCTACAAACGGTTCCCAGCACGACTGTGATTCCATCATGTATCCCAGGGGAATCAGATGACAACTGCACAGCTTTGGGTAAGCCCAGCTTCATAAATTCTACATCAAGAGATTTCACAGTTTTCAACAAAAATGTAAATATAAATATGTGACAAACAAAAAGGGGAGAGTATTGCCGTATTAATTTTTGATCCACTAATTAATTAGAGTTCTAGAAAAATACATAAAGGAGTAGTGGGAGAGGGATCAGACATCATCTATTTATATATAAAGATTTGTTCTTAAAAATTCAGGAAATAAGGAAAATCCCATTTTCTACAGAATTATCATTAAAAGACACACTGAAAGACTAGATCCCAGAAAACAGGAAATAGAAGAAAGTTCATTTTATAAACAGTTGTTTAAAAATTGTGCATGCATACACATGTCTATTTGTTAAGAGGAACAAATGATGTCCTTTCTTACTTAATGTGTGTCAAACATTTTACTAAGCAATAGTCTTAAGTAATGCCCAGTCTTTTCCCATCAGAGACAGCAGTCTCTGTGGTTCAGTGAAGGTGAGTTCTGTATTCAGTCTGAGCTCCTGAGTCAAGGGTTAGTTTGAGAAAACAAGATATTTTCCACAAAAATATTGCCTTCTTTCTTGTTCCTTCACTATCATGTTCTTTGGAAGTTTGATGGGCCTTCCTCTACCACCTCTCTCCCTTTTTTGGTTATATGTACAAAAGTATTATTGTCAAGATTTTAAAAAATGATAATTTCATAAACATCTCTCTCACATTTTAGTAACAAAAACATTCTAATGGGAACTTATTTGTAAATAAATGTTGCAACATTCTTTCCAACAAGATTCTTTTTCTCCTTCTTCTTTTTTTTTTTTTTTTGGTGGTGAGCAGGACCAGGGATTGAATTCAGGGGCACTCAACCACTGAGCCATATCCCTAGCCCCATTTTGCATTTTATTTAGAGACAGGGTCTCACCGGGTTGCTTACACCTCCCTGTTGCTGAGACTGGCTTTGAACTTGTGATCCTCCTGCCTCAGCCTCCCCAGCTGCTGGGATTATAGGCGTACACCACTGCCCCTGGCCTAGACTCCTATTTTTATTTTTCTATGTGCCTAATAGGAATTTCTAACTCAGAATTTATCTAGTTTGTTTCAGGTCTCAATGTGAGAAGTGTCAGGAGACTTTGATTTCTTTGATGATAACCTCAGCAATTTGGGAACACACACCAAAACAAAGCTTATGACTTAAAAACCTGTGATAGAATTAAGCTCTCTTGAGTTAATTAAAGGTTTTAGCTTGGAATTGCTTTTGAGAGTAATGAATTTCAGAATCACTTTGAGACTTGAAAAAATGAGGTGTTTTATTTATACCTACTGTGGAGGGTAATGGTGTGTTGTGTGTGTGTGTGTGTGTGTGTGTGTGTGTGTGTGTAACTACCTTTTCTTTTTTTGTTATTTTTTATTTTTTATTTTATTTACTTATTTTTGCATTACAATTCTTAATACACCATTATACCATAATTTATCATATTTCTGATTGTATATAAGGTATGTTGACACCGAATTCACATCTTCATACATGTATCTTGTATAATGATGAGGGTCTCCTTTCACCATCCATGCTATTCCCCTTCTCCCTCCCTTTCCCTCCCACCCCTATTCCCTATCTAGAGGTAATCTTCCTCCCTTGCTCTCCCTCCCAACCCCATTTTGAGTCACCTCCCTTATATCAGAGAACACATTCAGCATTTGTTTTTTGGGATTGGCTAACTTCACTTAGCATAATCCTCTCTAATGCCATCCATTTCCCTGCAAATGCCAGGATCTTATTTTTTTATTGCTGAGTAATATTCCATTGTGTATAAATGCCACATTTTTTATTCATTTATCCACAACCTTTTCTATCTATAAAGTCTGTTTTTTGAGTATTAAATCTTCCAGTGCTATTTCATTTTGTTTAGTCCATTGGATATATTCCTTTGGACTCAGGGGTTTCTTTATTGTTCTAGGGAGTGTGATACCTAGAGTGGAGTAGTTTTCTCCTCCTGAAAATTCTCCTGGACTGATTGGCATCTGACCTGTTTTGTGAAGTTGCTCAGTGATTACTGTTGTGAAAGAATGATTAATGCCCTGAGTCCAAGAGGGCAACAGAATGCTTTCAACTTTCCGTTTCCTTTACAGTTCAGATGGAAGATAATCCACGTGTGGCTCAGGTGTCCATAACAAAGTGTGGCACTGACATGAATGGCTACTGCTTGCATGGACAGTGCATCTACCTGGTGGACATGAGTGAAAATTACTGCAGGTAATATGCCAAAAGTAAACAAAGACAGTGTTTGAGATTATGTTTCTTTCCTTTTGTTTTAAATTTTGAAGTTATCCTATATTTCTACGGACAGTGAAAATATAATTGATATAGAGTATTAGAAATTGTATTAACTTTTTTGAAACTAGAGAACAAATAGTAGTTTTCAAATTGTACACATAATCCAGGGATGTACAGTGGACATTTCAATTCCTCCTTCAATTCCTTGCCATGATAGGAAGTCCACTTTTAATCTTTTCATTGGACTTCTATGTCAGCCATTGTTTTCAGAATTGATTCCACCGGTTTAGACAAAAAGCATCTCAACCCTACAAAGCTTACAAAACACCATTTCTAGGTAACCAGCCCCCTTGGCAGCTAAATCAGACTGTTGTTTTAATGTCACAATTTAACCTGAGAGCTCTGTGGAGTCATTTTATTAATGTTGTCCCAACTCTATATTCAATCTTTGAATTTATGTTTATAACTTTTAGCAAATCTTGCGGATTTCTTACATTACACTGTAATACTAATTCTTATGAAACTAATTCATAACCATGATATACTGAAATAATTGATTTTTGTCTTGTATTTTTCTTCAGATGTGAAGTGGGTTACACTGGTGTCCGATGTGAGCACTTCTTTTTAACTGTGCATCAACCCTTGAGCAAAGAATATGTGGCCTTGACTGTGATTCTTATTATTTTGTTTCTTGTCATAGTTGCCGGTTCCATATACTACTTCTGCAGATGGTAAGCCAGTGCTTGCTTTATATTCTACTTTCATAAATTACATAATGCAGACTTACAAACCAAGTAAAAATGTGAACATAGTATTAGAGGAATAAGTCTGCATTGATGACATATACAGAGATGTTCTAGCTACAGAACGTCCGGATTTCACTTCATTATGGGTTCTGTTACTTATTACTTCAGTGATTGTCTGAAAGTCAAACAGGGAATATCAGTTCCTTCCTCTATAAAATACAGATGGAAATTCTTATCCTATAATAACCAGGCTGTTTTTAGTACTGAGTATGATAGTCCTATGCATGCGGCAGTAAACCATGAGGCAGGATGCTGCTATTATACTTAGATTCTTGTATTTACTTTATTAGGTCAAATTTTTATTTCATAAAACACAGCTTGTAAATTAATAATCCCAGAGTCTTGGCATCTTAAAATGAAAGGCAGACTTGTAGAAATGAGTTTCCAGGAAAAAAAAATATAAAATCTAACTGATCGAATTGGTTCAGGTCATTTCCCTAAACCAGTCATATCCCATTCTTATGTACAATATTGTCACAAGTTGATAACTGAGAAAGACTAGAACTGTAGACTGACAGGTTTTGTAGGTTAGGACCAGGCTGTGGGACTGGTGTGAATTAGTTAATAACAGTTGCCTTGAAAATGTGTCCTTTTAAAATCCTTCTTGTTTTGAAACTGGTACAAAGTGCTCAGTAAATTTTTTAGTTTCAATTTACAAATCGTTCGGTGGTGAAGTTTAAAAGTGTGCTATTTTTATAAGGTTAAATTTATTTTGTCCATATTTGATTCAAAGACTCCATCAAATAATAATGCCTTCCTAATTAGTTATCATCACAGAATGAAGAGCTATTAAGAGAGAGAAGGAAAAAAGAAAGAGAAGGGAAGAGAATGGAAGGGGGGAGAGAGAAATGGATTCTCTTCAGTAAATTTCACAATATTCATGATCATGTTAAGACCTTTGAGAAGTCCTTCCACTATTTCCTTCCAAATTTCTTTTGACTAAAGAACACTACTCCCTTCCTTCCTCCTTTTGTCACCTTGTCCAACCTAAACCCAGGCACTTCCGCCATTTTGAATACACTATGCTAACATGCCTTTGGAGTCCATATTTTTTTTTCTTTTGTTACCTTGCTTTTTTCTTGTAACTATTGAGTATAATGCTAATAGTTTCATTTCTTAATATTTCCAGGTACAAAAACCACAAAAGCAAAAACTCAAAGAAGGAATATGAGAGAGTGACCTCAGGGGACCCAGCGTTGTCTCAAGTCTGAACAGCACAGGGATGCACTGCATTCCTAGTCAATGTTAATATTCCTATTTTATTAATAATATTTATGTTGGGTTGTGTGTTAGGTCAACAACTGTGTATTTTTAATATACTCAAAAATGTTTTTATTTTTGTTTTATTTTTGACAAACTATTTACTAATATATTATGTGTAAAAATATTTAATACCAAAGAAAAGTGATATTTTTGTAAGAAATAATTTCCTGAGCTAAATGCTTTATTGAAAGCTTCAAAGCTTATATGCCTGCTGCACAGGGCCTAGGAATGAGCAATGCCTAATTCATTGTTCAGGAAGTGTCAGCTTGTGACTTATTTCTGTAAACCTAAATATATGGTCAAATCAATCTTATAAGTAGATTCTTTTCTATTGCTCAAATCAGTGATAATTGACTTGACTATGTTATGGCATTGGTTGGTGCCACTGTTTCATGTAATACAATTGAGATTTGGGAAAACAAATACAGGTCATATGCTAAACAGTTTAGCATATTTGAAATAAACTGAGTTCAGGAAGAATGGCCTCTACATTCCTATATTGGCTAGCTTGATACTCACTTGCTTGGAGGGTCAATGGACCATCCCCTGTGCCAACCTACAACTACAGAAAACTGTCAGCCACCTGCCAGATTCTCTTCAAGTAAAGTGAAGGGAAGAGTTTGTCATCTTTCATGTCCATAGTGGGTATTCCATAGCTTCACACTATTCTATTTTTGTACAACACATCGTTTATGTTATGTGTTTATAATTGTTTCTCATGAGACAATTAGAAAAAAATACATTCTTGAAGCCAAATTTGTGCTTCTTTTTAGGGTATTAATTTTCACAAGAGATTTATTGAAGAATTGTAAAGTAAATCAGAGTCCAAAATGTGATAAGCTAATTATTATTTTAAAATAGAATAGAACAGTAGTTCTATGTTATCTAAAAATGGACATACAGGTATTTCTATTCAAGATGGTTTCACTTACAGTTTAAGTACCTTCTTCTAAAACTTAAAGTTACATATTTAAAAATATCTTCATATAGGCAGTGGAAAATAATAAGAGAAAATAAACTATAGTGTATTTTTCCAAATGAAAAACTCTATTGGAAAGCTTTTAAAATGTAGGGACTTAACTACACCTTCTTATGGAGGCTGAGATGAAAGTACCCCTTACACACTTTATCCCCTGTTATTTATTTATTTTCTGGAAGAAACTGAGATTTCTTCTGCACTCTGAGGTCTCAGTGAGCTCAGGGTATTTTGAGCAATTGCATAGAAGTCAGGGCTGTCACCACCTTTGGCTTTCATGGGAGTCTACCTCTCTGAATGCTAAATTTTTCGTTCTCATCTCTGGATCACATACCAGGTCAGGGAGGATCTTCTTCCTCCACATTTTTTCCTGGCATGTACTAGGGCAACAAAGATATCACCAGACAAGTCACCTCTGGAGTACCAGATGCCAGGAATTGCCTCCAGATGGAGCCATGTATTATATACTCTGATGTGTTCACATGGCTCTCATGTATAGTCCTGGCCTGGCAGGGAAACAAGCAAACAAAAGAAACGAAAATCTATACATAAATATATTTGTATACAAACACTTAAGTACACATGAGCTCTATTGACTATTGAATCATAGTCATTTGTTGCTCTATAACTAATGTGTGAAACTTAAAAGCAAGATAAAAGGAAAACAGAAATCAGAGAGACTTTAAAGTATATTTATTTCATGTTTACTATAGCTGAAATCAAATGTATTATTACATAAGGGCACATTTTAAATTGACACCTACTGAATGTAATGCAAGTCTGCCTATTTTCAGTGATCTTGTCTGTTTTAAAGAAAACTTATCGACTAAGAACTCAACTACAATCTATTTCATTAACAAAAGTTTCATTGACAGCGTCTCAGCATTGATATATTAGTCTGTCTTCAGCGTCTCAATGCATATTATATAACATGGTGCAAGTAGTTTTGGATTTTTTTTTTTTTTTTGGTACTGGGGAGTGAACTCAGGGGCACTCGACCACTGAGCCACATCCCAGCCCTATGTTGTATTTTATTTAGAGACAGACTCTCACTGAGTTGCTTAGCGCCTTGCTTTTGCTGAGGCTGACTTTGAACTTGCAATCCTCCTGCCTCAGCCCGCGCCCCTGAGCTGCTGGAATTACAGGCATGTGCCACCATGCCTGGCTAGTTTGGGATATTTTTATCTTTACTAAAATGCTTAAAAACCAGCCCCATAGGATTGGGTGTGTAACTCAGTGACACAGCACTTGCCTAGTATGTGCGAGGCCCTGAGTTTGATCCCCAGTATTGCAAAAAACTAACGAACTAACCCCTAAAAGAGTTAAATTTTTATTTACAAATACATATTAAATAATGAAAATATATAAATCAGATTGCATTTTGTGGATGAAAATTAGTAAAAAGTGGTTGCTATAGTGAGGATAATGCTGAATAGACATAAAAGAAAGACTTTTGCTCTCAGTTCATGTTTCCTACAGGAAATGAAAAGTATTTGGCTCACTTTTAGTTATCATCCTCATTTTACAGATTTCTCTATGTCTCAAAGAAGCTACACACACACACACACACACACATATATGTGGATATATAATATAAATATATATATATTTTATATATATGTGTATATGTATATATGTATAAAATATGTATAAAATGAGTCACATGATTCCCTCCGCTTACGCTGTATATGTATACATATTACTTATATGTACTGAGAACCTAAGCAATCCCTGAAGCAAAAATGCATAATTTATAATCTCCCACCAAGACCACCCAAAAACCCAGAAGACATATTCTATAACCAGGATGTTAAGTTCTGTGATTGGTACTAAAGTTTAACCTTAAAATTGAGATTATTGTACTATTTGAACATCTATAATCCAATACAATTTTACTGTTCTCCTATACATTGTTTTGCCCTCATCCCTCTGTCAAAAGTCAAAGCAATGGGAAAAATTATATACTGGTATGACATTGTCCAAACTCAAATTTTTATTTTTGAGTCCTCGAATGGAAAGCTAGCTAAATTTAACTGTGACTGAGAATCAAATCAATTTTTATTCAGCAAATACATGTGTTTAATTTATATTTAATAGTAGATTTAAAATCTGTCTGACTCATGTTGGTAATTTTTGCTACAGTTTTATTCTGTAGAATTTTGAAAACAAAATGCTTGATTTGCTGGCAAACATTTTCTGACTTTTTCTATTCTTTTGGGAGAAATGGGAGCATACACAGTGTTTCTGGAATAACTTTTAAAGTTTTAACATAATAATGATGTCTAAAATATATCTGCTATTTTAACATAATGATGTTAAATCTAATATACTGTATTTTTCTTTTTGCCTTTTTTGCACTCTGTAATTGCACTTTTTAAGTTTGAAGAGCCATTTTGGTATACAGTTTCTATTAAAGATGCTATGGAACATAAACTTGTACTATATATATTTTAAAGTAACTTATTTGTTGACTATGAATTTTATCAGAATACTGAATTGTATCAATTTGTTTGTGTTCAGTATCAGCTTTGATAATTGTGTACCTTAAGACATTGAAGGAGAATATAGATAATTTACAAGATATTGTTAATTTTTATTTATTTGTTTTGGGAACTGGCAAAAAAACACAATTGAGAAATAAATGTGCATTAAGCACCATCAATAAAACATCTGCACTTTCAATATGGTCTCTTTCTTCTATTTTATTTTTCTTTTGCTATTTTTCCCCACAATTTATTAAGGGGCTTAAAAGTAGTGACAGAATTATAATGTGTGTTCATATGAAGACATAATGCTCTGAATTTGCAAAAAAAGTGAGACACATTAATTATAAAATTCTAAGTGATCATATATTTTACAAGAATATTTTAAATAATATATTAAAAGAGTACTTTTGAAAAGAATAATATTCTTTTCAAATTTTAAGGTACATATTAGCTAGAATTAGGCCACATGATTCCCTCAGCTTATGCTAAGAAACTTGGCGTAGGCTTTCAGAGAAGAAAACATGTGTTCCCTGTGATGCATGGAGGCATCACGATAGTGTTAGCTTCCTTGCTATACTGCTTCAATAACCTGTAGAGCTGTGTGTGTGTGAGTGTGTGTGTGTGTGTGTGTGTGTGTGTGTGTGTGTTGCTTAGCATGGAACTCAGAGCCTTGTGCATCCTAAGAGTATACTCTACCACTGAGCTACATCCCTATCCCTGCCCAGAAAGTACTTTATCCATTTCTTAGCTCCTTGGGTTCTTCATTAGTCTGCAGGGAGAGGTGGGAGCCAGAACTATGATCATTCCACAGAGAAGTTAAGTAACTAATAGCAATGAGCTGTTAGGAGAAATGAAGTCTTAGGACCCCCAATTCCCCTGAAATTCTGACCAGGTTAGGGGCTGCAAAACATTGTGAGGAGTTAGTCTCAAATTTAGCTTAAAATTTCCTTGGGAAAAACAGGAATTCTAAATAATTAGAATTAATGGGATCTTACAGAACCAACAGACTGATTGGGTGCAAAGTCTGAGAACTTGGAGAGCAAAGGAAAGGAAGTAGAAACTTTTTTCTTTTGGCTTAGAGGATATTACACTCACCTGGTTTTATACTCACTTCTGAGTCTCTTGCTAGATCTTCTTCAATATACTTCATCCTTAACCATGGACCTGTAATACCGCAGTGTTCTGGATTTATGTTTTATGTTTTGTTTTGTGACCATTTGAGGAGAAATATAGTCATGAATTGGTCAATTTGAATTCAGTACTTGTAATTTTGTCTTTTGAAAATCTTGATATTCTAACCCTTAATCAAGAAGAACTTTGTAGGACAAATATGAGATTCCATATAATTAAAGTAAAAGCCAAAGAACAGGGCCATTCTAATGAACTGCTTTACTGCTTTTAAAAATGGTGAACTCCAACCATTTTTATTTTTGGGGTGCTTATGCTCTAGGATAGCAACATATCATTGCCTAGCTCTGAATGTGGA